TTCTGGGTTAGAGATGGGAGCTTGTGTCCACCATTTCTACTCTCAGAACTGGGACCCCATTCATCTTAGACTCATTGAGACTCTATGCATGCTGCCACAGTCCCTGTGAGTTCATATGTGTGCCAGTCCCCCTGTGTTAAGGAAGGCTTGCTTCCTTGCTGTTCTTCATCCCCACTAACTCTTACATTCTCTCTGCTTCCTCTTCTACAGAGTTCCCTGATCCCTGAGTGGAGGGATTTGATGAAGAGACTCCATTTAGTACTGAGTGTTCCAAAGTTTCTCACTCTCTGCACACTGTCTGGCATAAGCCAGCTTTTAAAAATGGACAGCAAAGAGGTCAGTAAAGGACAACCTGATAATTTTCAGTAGAGAGAGGGAAAATAATTTTCAAACTTTTCAACTTGCCCTTGAGAGTTTATGTAATATGTGATGTTCCCTGGAATTGTCACACATGAAACCTTGGGCATGTTTACAAGTCAGACAGAGAAGATGGTCAATGGAAGAAAGCAGATGGTAAGATGCCAAGTTTCCACGTACAGGTATGCTACAAGCACAACCCTGGGTAAAGAACACATCGTTTGGGGTTACTGAGAGGATAGCTCTGTCAATAAAAAGTCAAGTAGGGGGCTTGTCATACAAACATAAGGGGACCTGAATTTGATGCCAGCACCTATGTAAAAAGGCAGATATGGTGACACATATAACATTCCAGCTCTAGATCCCTGGGGATTTTTGATCAGCCAGCCACCCCAATTGACAAGCTCCTGGTCCTAGTGAGAGATTCTACCTAAAAATATAAGTTTCCTAAAAAATAAAGGATTGTCCTCTGTCTCTCTCTGTCTCTCTCTGTCTCTGTCTCTGTCTCTCTCTCTTGTCTCTCTCTCTCTCTCTCTCTCTCTCTCTCTCCCCCTCTACCTATCTATCTATCTCTTTCTCAACAACAACAACAACAACAACACACACACACACACACACACACACACACACACACACAAATACACAAATGGATTTGCTACAGACTATCACTCTTGACCAGGACACTCCCTGCTGGCTTGCTTTCATAGTACTAGAGAGTGCTGTTTGGGCTTCTGGTGGGGAAGTCATCAACAGTCTTATCTTGCTTTAAACCCCATGAACAGTAATAATGATGAGTGTGACAAAATATGCCCATGGGTGCAGTATTGGCACAAATGTTATAGGGATAACCAACTACCTTCTGATTGAATTCAAGGCCTTCTCCACAGAAGGAAACACATGCCTGACAACTGTAAATCTCCCCCAGATCATTGTAGAGGAGCTCACAGGCCCCATGGGTGAACCTACTACTATTATTCTACTAAATGGGCAGGGTATTAAACTGTCTGCTAAATAAGTGTCTCTACAACCATAGACCAGTACAGCTCTCAGGCATTGTCAAGGGAGTTTCATTGTGCAGTGGACATTAATTAATGTGGAAACTCAACTGGTCAAAGTGGAGAGAATAAACATCAGTGGAGTATTCAGCATCTATATATCACCCTGTCCCCAAAGCTC